TGGAGAGTGATATATAAAAAATCACCGGGCATGAGAGCGCATGAGTGACTGAGAAAGCGATGGCTGTGCAAGAAGTATAAGTAATAATTGGAGCACTGGACATCAGATTGTAACTACCTCGAAGCTTTCTTGTTATGAAGAGCACCTTAAATAACATACTTGTTACCCGAAGCTTTTGCTCATATTACGAAAAAATATACTCACTGCCACATTCATGACTATGGACATAGCAGCAGCACAGAGACAGTTGATTTGCGCAAGTCTGATTTCTTCATCAAATTCGGCTACCTAATTTAAGTTTAAACAGTGCTGTCGTTCAATAATGGGAGACCAAAAAAGAAATAGAAGGAGAAATAATGGGAGACTCACCTGTTGTCTCTGGGTTGTCAATTCTACTCCCGACATCACAAACGCATTCTGGAAAGCTCTGACAAGACAATTATGAGGAAACTATTATAGATAGTTGAACTTTGGCTGAGTGATTAACGAAGCAATTTCCGCTCGAACGCTCGCAGATATAAAATCACAAAATTTTAATTGTAAAGGAATTGAATCGTTCAGCTAGACAGACTCTCATGAATCCTAGCATTCACCCTAACAAATAGACGTTTTAAACTGGCTAAATGCGGAAGCACAATGTCACAAAATATGCAACCTTTCTGGCATTCTGCACCCAAACTCAATGATGAAGCAAATGTCGCGAGATGAAACAAGATTTGGTTCTTAGAATAATCTCACAGCTGCAGTCAATTCCTATAATTATCTCTAGGCTCTCTGTATCATGACATGTATTTAATGGCAATATCCGATAAACAAAGATGTTGTTGAGCAAAGTGTTGTCCCATACAGGTTGCTGCTACGATTACTAGTAAATGCGAATGCAAACTGATCTAGTCAATTTGTTGTTTTAGGTAGAAAGAGAATGCCTTGTCACATACGTCCACGCTATTTCCACTATCAGAACCCCTAAAAAGAGCTAACCCAAAATTCGAGCTTTGATTAGCATGAATTGAGGTAATAATTAGTTTTGTTGAGCTTCTTACGACAGAAAATCAAGAGGAAGCAAGCACAAGCAGATTTTGCTCACGACAGATACGACATCATCCTACAGTGTCGAAATCGGGATTTCATTGAAATTTGAATTCAAAGTTTAGTAGTGAAATTAGTCCGACTAGGGTAAAAAAAATTTGTGTTTAGGGGTCTGCCATGCTGGTTCCAAATATGATGGTGGTTTTGGTAAAAACTCAAAATTTTTTCTTTCAAATTTTAATCTTGTTTTCAAATCTGGCAAAAAAACTAAAATTGTCATTTGAGTGTATTTCATGATGCTGTTTTCGAATATGCTAATGTTTTCGCCAGAAACTTCAAAAGCTTTTTTTTTAATTTTGACTTTTTCATAAATTTCACTGCAGCTTTGATAAAACTGGAAAACAAATGAAAAAATGCTACTTTCAGGAAGACTAGAAAAATGATATAAACTGCGAAATAAAACTTGAAATAAGGTGGCAAAAAATTCAATGAGGCTGAAGCTAAATTTGAAGGATTGGAAAAGATTCCCAGCTATCATTAAAATCTGTGTGTTATTAGATTATCCTGGACACTACAATTAGTTTCCTTAGAGAGCAGCTACTGAATTATCACTCAATTCTTGAAAAATGATAAAACATTTGCTTTTATCAGCATTGATAGGCATGGCTGTAATGCAGTAACTTGAGAATATCTGTCAAAGATCCAAGTTTTTATTCTGATTTGCCAAATATCGCCACTGAACATTGATTTTAATCCCATCACGAAGCTCGGTTTGATTTTCACGCAAAACCACCGTCATATTTGGAACCAGCATAACAGAACTTTGAAATCAAAATTCAATGAAATCCCGGTTTCGTACACTGTAGGATGATGTCGTATCTGTCGTGAGCAAAATCTGCTTGTCTTCGATGCATATTGGGTGCAAATTAGCATTGCTGACAGTTCATGACCTCTCATGTCCCCTGCTAATTACATGGCGGCATGCCTCTCTGGGTAGATAAATTCCGTTCCCCGGCTACTACAGACGGAGGCGCAGAAGCAGTATTAGTCGATGCGCGAATGCTGCGCGGGTATCTTCACCGTTGTAAATCCTACGCCTTATGCGCTTACGACTGATAAAGTCGCGTTCGCTCCCCAATTATTGCGCCTTCGTCATGCAGCAGCATATACATGATGTGCTGGCCAAAACTATAAGTCTACCTTAGAGAATGCCGTGATTCTGTGCTGTAGTTGGAATTTAAAACTTCTGCACTTTTCACTGTGTGGAAGAGATGGGATTCTCCTATCTACACTTAGCAAAGTGAATATCAGAGGGAGAACTTGAGTTTTCGCTGTTGAAACAAAACAACAACGACGTAATCGCAATCGTACTGAGCTCACGACAAAGTAGAAACACTCCGAAAAGGAAATAGTACACTGTACTCATTGATGACAAAATCACTTTATGCTTCATATCAAAAACATGTTCTGCAGAACAATATGATGCAAAAACAAAATAGCTTAGCAAGTGCTAAATTTTTCTTGATTTTTTGACAGCCTCTGTTTGCTATATAGTGATAAAAAGTTGTATTGCATGTTACTGGTCCCCTGACTTTGAGGCTTGCTCAGTCACTATTTGTATTAGGTTGATGCATAATTCCTGCACCAGAATAGGTACAGACCGCAATAACTCGGAATAATCCTATATCCCAAGTAGGATTCGATAAATCATTAGATAGCGCAAACCTAACTCTACAAGATATTGCTCAAATATCTACACCTGGAATGATATCCACGAAAGTCCATAATGGAGGAAAATGGACTTTCAAGCCCCATTTTATTCGTTCGCGGTGGAGAGTGGTCGGAATCTGCTTTCGCTCGCGTTATCCAAAAATTTTCATCCCATCGCAACCACGAGGCAAAGCGGTGAAATGAAAATGATTTAACCCTACTTGAGCTCTCGCTTGCGAAGTGATGACGTCAAAAGTCCATTTAGAATGGGGCAAAATGGGATTTACCTCCATTTTAAATGGACTTGAAAGCCCATTTTACTCCCAGCAGCAAGGTGAGCTGGGACTAAGCCCATTTTTGACCTTTTTGCATATTTTTGATTGCGATTTTTTGGGAATGTGTTCCTCAACCTATCCTAAAGTAATAGGTGAGTGGAAAAAGTTTCATGTCCTTTATGAAGTCTGAAATAAGTGTTTCTTTCTAAACTCATAGAAGCGCTATAAAAACATAGAAAAAATCAAATTCGCCCAAATGTTCGCTAACAAACCCAAATGCTTCTTAATATCAGGTCAATCAGAAAATTCTTATGTAAAACAAATAAAGTTTGTTAACTCTTCAAATCATCAACCAAAACCAAATTCATGATTTGTAATCTAAAATTTGAAAAAAATTGTACTTCAATGTGATTACTTAGAAGCTATCTTTGGCTAATTTCGTAGAACCGAACCTCAGAGACGGCATTTTAAACGCAATTTTAAGTTTGGTCCGCAAGAATTACTGAAGTGCCGCTAGCTAGCTAGAGAAATTCCGTGAAGAATTTCTTACTAGATTAGTCCATACATTCAACTCGCTCAAAGACAAAGAAAAGCTAATATAGAGCACTTGCGAAGTCATCTTTTGGGATTCAAAGTTTTTGCGACTTGAAGAACCCTTTGAGCTGTAGTATAGTACAAGGTTTCTTGTAAGGAGCATTTTAATTCACAGATTGCAGTGCAACTCCAGCCAAAGTTTGCTTTTTGCAGAAATCTCCACATGCGAATTTGATTTAATGCTGATTCGTAGAAGTTTTGAAGCGAAGGCCCGGATATTACATGAATTTTAGTCTTGGAAGTGATTTAGATGCATAATCGTCGATAACGAATAGCATTCTGTTAGGTGTAACGAAGTGGGAAAGAATAGAATAGCCACTTGAGTGACATTGTAATGTTAGGTCAGCCTAGTTAGAGATCGACCACTTGGTGGAAATGAGTTTGCAAGAGTGAGCAAACAGGTTGAGACAAGTTGGAGAAAGGTTAGTTGGAGCATTTTGTATGGAATGAATGTACTCGCGAATGCGATATCTTATCGCACCGCATGGACTAAGTCCATTTTATTCGCACGAAAAGCCCATTTCGCGGGGACTTTCGTGGATATCATTCCAGCAGCTTTGATCCACGCGAAGTTTTGAGCCAAAAACTGAAAAAAAACCATGCGTCCGAAAACCTTAAGACAGATCTTAAAAAATTGTAACTTCGTTCAAAAAGCTCCTAGAAAATTTCTTTCTTGCACACGCGTAGACATTCCACGCATCACATCTATCTATGCGGTTCCTGTATTTTTTGCTCAGCTGAACGATGAGAAAACGAAGTTTTTCATGTTTTTTCCAAAACAATGCTGAGATGTTTCAGCACTGACAGTTGTATACTACAGGACCCTAGAAGCGTGAATGTGAATTTTCAGCTCTTTACAGCAACTGATTTACGAGAAATGTCGAATTTTTGGCAATCAGGCAAGAAAAATTCGGATGAACAAAGCTAAATTCGTCATTACTCCTGAACTAGCTGTCCTAGAAGGCTGAAAATGTAATTGACTGCTAATGTACTATACAACCGTTAGTGTTAGAACATCTCAGCACTAATTTGGCAAAAACATGGAAAACTTCGTTTTCTCATCGCCAAGCTGAGAAAAAAATACAGCAACTGCATAGATAAATGTCTTATGTAAAACGTCTACGCGTGAGCAAAAAAGAATTTTTGGAGGAACGTTTTTAACGGAGTTACAATTTTTTCAAGACCTTTCTCAAGGTTTTAAGGACGCATGGTTTTTTCAGCTTTTGGTTCAAAACTTCGCGTGGATCAAAGCTGGTGCAGATATTTGAGCACTGTCTTGTAGAGCTAGGTTTGCGCTATCTAAAGATGTATCGCATCCTACATGGGTTATAGGATTATTCCAAGTTATTGCGGTATATACCTATTTTGGTGCAGGAATTATGCATCAACCTGATACACTGGTCTCCTTAATCACCTCAACATGCTAGAGCCCGCAGAGATCCGTAATCATGTACGTTCCTTACATAGAACATGTTTACCCCACTTTATGCTTGTTAGAACATGTTAGAAACAGATTAGGAGTTTGAAGGCGGAAACCGAGTAACGGCTTCCGGTTACTCGATGTTGGATTTGCTTCGATGGCGAAAACTCGAATTTTCCACCTAGGTTTTACTTTGTTGAGCATCTAAAAGATACAGAGGGTATGATCGCTTTCAACCCAAAAAAAGAAACTGTTGAAATAACCTACACAAGCACAGGTTTTAAGAACGAAACACGTGTGAAATTATTTGAGTCAAAGAAAACAACATTTGTACGAAGGTATGGAACAGCTCAACTGAACAACTGTCTTACACTTTCGACTACTTATTAAATAATTCGAAAGAAGAACTACTTTAACGAATAGGAACTTTGAGTGGACTATGAAAACTGGC